TGCTGCCCTTGCTATCATACTGTTACGAATTGTTATCCTTTAACATAAAAAAATAACCACTTTGTTGATACACCACAAAGGGACAACATGGATCTGTCCTTTTCAAATGATAAAATCCCCTACTGGTTTCAGAATATGAAATTATCCTCTATAGAATTGAAGTTACATCTTAGCTTGTGCTTTTTGTGCTTTATCAGACTCCTTTCTTATATTTGAAGTATGTACGACACATACTTGATCTTGGATTGTGATTGCAGAAACTGATGATGATCTTCCACCATCACATCAGAATAGGGGTGCAAGAGGAGGGCCCATCCTTGGGAATGGAAGATCTGCTACTGGTGCTCCTCCATATTCCAGGGGGCAACATGATATGGAGACCCAAATACATTTACTTGAACAAGAAGCCTATTGTTCAGTTCTTCGGGCATTTAAGGCACAATCCGATGCCATTACTTGGGTAAGCATCATTCCCATGATCATTCTGAAAGATTTAATAATTATACTGTTGTACATGTCTACTGCTTCCTTCCAATATTGACATTCTCTTAATTCATGCGTAAATAAATTTCTGCAGGAGAAGGAAGGTCTAATAACAGAACTTAGGAAAGAGCTGAGAGTATCTGATGAGGAACACAGAGAACTGTTGAGCAGAGTTAATGCAGATGACATCATAAGGAGAATAAGGTCGTTTGTTAGGATGATATTTATCTGTTAAATTTCTGTGGTTCTTCTCTTCTAATTGCTGGGGATACGTTTATATCATTAGGGAGTGGCGGCAGGCAGGTGCTGCTCAATCTGGATTGCTCAGTAACACTCCACCTGCTCATGAATCGTTACCTAGCCCCACTTTCTCAGCTTCTCGAAAGAAGCAAAAGACATTGCAGTCTTTGGGAGCGCCTTCCCCTGTGATGCACCTACAACCAGTTACTGCACCATCATCTCCTGCAGTGATAAGAGGAGCTCCATTAGGGTCCAAGGCTAAGAAGCCTAAAGCTGTATGTCATAGTTAAAGAAGAATTTTATATTTATGGGTTTTGTTATATTAGGCCCCCAAAATCTTTCTTATTTCTATAATAGACCTCCAAATCATCACATTTCTAAATTAGACCCCGCAAATCAATTAAGTCGTATTGAATTAGACCCCCAAACCTATTAAGTTGTTTTAAATAAGACCCCTATTTCGAGCAAATATGTGGATTTGGGGGATCTAATCTAGAAGTATGTAGATTTGAGGGTCTAATATAGAATTAACAAATATTTGGGCGTCTAATATAACAAAACCCTTACATTTGAGTGCTATTCTGCCCCCTTTTTTTTCTTTCTTGAGCTTTTCTTTGTCTCTTTTTTTATGACCCAAGGGTCATACATTGACAGGTATATCAGCAGTGAAGATCTTGCAAATCCCTTCTATTGGTCCGAGTGGAAAGGGCCAGGTCACAAGCAGGAGTCCTTCTGGTGCAATTGCTGCTACGCTACCTGCTGCAGGCACAGCATACAATCCACTTATCGGAAGGAAAGTATGGACAAGATGGCCAGAAGATAATAGCTTCTATGAGGCTGTTATTACTGACTACAATGCACGTGACGTATGTATTGCTGTCATGATTGCTTACTATTGATCTGAGATTGTTATCTACCCTACCTTACTATTTATAGTCATTTTTAATCATTGTCAGGGTCTGCATGCTCTTGTTTATGATATCAACACAAAGAACGAGACATGGGAATGTGTCAATCTTAAAGAGGTGAAATGATTGTATCTCTTGAGGATACATATCAACATATTCTCTTTTTCTTTTTCTTTTATTGCCTCATTTGCATAGCCTAAAAATCAGTATGTTTGGAGAATGCAGTCGTTGAGATCTTTTTGCCAAGTATAGCATAACAAAGTATTATTGATGTCAGTCCATTAGCAAAGCTACCATATCCTTTTAACACCTTATCGATACACCAGTGGGCTTGTGACATTAGAAGCACTTGAATTATCCATAGATTACTTGTGTATCAGTTAAGGAATGTGATTCTATGAGTAAATCTCACAGGCAGGAAATCACGTGTTCTGCATTCAAGACAAAGTGATTTTTTTTGCATGTGTATAAGTCAACATATAAGGTTTTGGATGTTGCGATACTGGTAAAAGACATCAGCATAAATGAAAAATAAAAAATAAAACTGATGCTTAAATAGTATCAGTTGGAAATACTAAGTTATAATGAGTTCTGATTGCAAGAAGTTCCATTCTGGTATCTTTCATCATTAGGTGAAAACTTAGCTGACTTCCCAAGATGAACAACAACAGAATGATAAGAAAAAAGAGGCAGTAGGGTGGGAGGTATGAGACAGTAGAATTTAGCTTAATATAAGCTAGATTTAGAAAAATGAATCTGTAATCCTTAGAATTTGTCTTAACACAACGCTAGGAGCGTAAAATTACATCCAAATCCGTAATCAATTGGCATGTTGCTGTCAAATTTGTTTTGAAACTTATAAAGCATTTAATTCAAGTTAAATATTTGGATCTATAGAGGAATAAGGGATGGGAGATGGGTTTTAACTTACACTGGTAACAAAGCTAGCCTATTGCTTTACTACTGTTTTGAAACTTCTTTTGAAACCTGAAGAACATTTTAAGTTAAAGATTTTGGTCTATTGATCCAAAACAAATGAATGATTATTTTTTGTAAGCTGAAAACTTACAAGAGCGCACCTTTACCATTAATCTCATTGTAGAATATTTTGCATGACACAACCTAATGAAGTGAGATTGAATTATGACAGTAATTTTCACCATTACATGTATGTACATCTGAGTATGTTTTATCAGCTACTATTTGTTTGAGGAAAGACGATAGAGTTTAGTATAAAGGAATAAAATGTTCAGCACCAGAAGCTACAATATTTTGTCAATTAAAGCATATACTCCTATAAATCAGACCCTTTTTGTTTTATGGATACTGAGCTCCCTATACAATATTTTTAAGCATATCGAAACTGAAATTTAAACATAAATCACGGAAATGGACCAATAGAAACCAAGCTGTTAATGAGTGACCAGACATCAAAAGTCAAAACCAAGCAAAACCTTGGAATAAGAGAATAATTCTGGACAATATAATTAGGCGTATGTAGGTAGTAGATTAAGGAGGAGGTGATTGGGTAACCAAGAGGGTCTATCTTGATATTAATTAATCAGTGATGTAGCAGTAAGGAGGATCTATGCTTTATGACATTTCACCGAAGTTCTGAAGTTAACTGGTGGAGTCAGCATTTCTTGTTGTATGATAAATGCTCTTTTTGGTGGCAGATTTCTCCTGAAGACATCCGATGGGATGCTGAAGATCCTGGTATATCTGGACGACCAGGTCATGGAATGAAGAGGCCTATGGGCCAAAATCGTGCCTTTCCTGGTGCAGGAAGGGGAAGAGGTTCCCTGAAGAATCATTCCAATAAAGATTTTGGTCCAAGAATGAATGGCATTGGAAAGAAGCATTCTGATGATATTGAGATACTTCACACAGAAACTCTTATAAAGGAGGTGCGTCATAGTTGGCATAATTTAAGGCATGTTTGGAAACTTGTTGTTAAACTGGCGTAGTGGAACAAAAACCGGTCCAACATTAATCCTAGTTTGGGAAATAGTGGAACAAAACCGGTCCAACATTAAACTGGTTTTGTTAGGCCAGTAGATCGGACCAGGATTGTTCCACAGTTCACCTCCCATGGTTCAAAATTAGACTGGTTTAGGCTAATTCTGGATTTACGGGGCGTTGACAAACTGAAAAGTAGTTTTGATACCTACGGGGTCCATCTTAATTTGTGATCTTATTCTCGTTGTGCAAGTTAATGTGATTAAGTATTTTACTAGACCTTGTAAATTTTCCTGAGGTTTCTGATCAAATGAACTGCTTCATGGCTTCAACAAGAGATAGTTACTGACTGTGATACCCCGACACACTATTTTTGGTCCCGTACCCATGTCGGGTACGTTTTGGGTGCGGATCCGCACCCAAACGGCAGGGACACAGCGATTTCCCTTCACGCGCGTGTGAGGGAAAAAAGTTCCGAAACTGAAATTTTGAATCATCGGGCCAATCAAGTCCACTATTTGAGCCCAATAACCCAAACCTGCTACTTGAAATACCCAGTCCTCCTTTCCTCTTTGAAGCCCGATTTTGCCTTCCCACGTTAGTACCCATCAACGGAAGCAGCGCCTTGACGACGGAAGATAGATCTCAAGGCATCGACTCAATTGCAGCGCCTCGACGACGGAAATTAACACCTCGACGACGAAATCAGCGCCTCTTCTCAAAGACAAGGTAACAAAAATTTCCAAGGTTTGACTTTTAGGGTTTTTAGGGTTTTGTTTAAAGTTGTTTCTCCTTTTTCCTTTGAGCAACTGAAAATTTGGGGTTTAAGTTTGTTTTTAGTGTTTTTAAATAGATTTCATTGTTAATGTGTTTTATGTAGTGAGCTTCCATTCAGATAATGAATTTCTGCATGGATTTCATTTTTGAGCTCGAAAACAGTTTGTGCTTACATACTCAAGAATTTGAAAGTAATTCAATCTCATCTCTAAAATAAATTAGAATTATAAATTATTTTTAATGTTTGTATTTGTTTATATAGGTATTTGTATTAGTTCTAAATTGTTAATTGAAGTAAAAATAGCTTTCTATTTCTTATATGTAAGTATTTTCCTGTTAATAATTGTAGAGAATTAAATGGAGACTCCAAGTTCACAAAGCGAGCTAGAGGACGATAATGCTCCTCTTTGGAGATATGTCACAAAACTTAGAAAAGCAACGGGAGGTGGTGGAAATTGGGAATGACAATGCAATTATTGTCTTGAAACTTTTGAGAGTTCTCATTCAAGAGTAAAAGCATATCTCTTAAGACATCCATTATTTGGAATCAAGTGTTGTGCAAATGTGAAAAATGAAAATATTGTTGAGAAGAAGAAAGTGTTGGAGCTAGCGGAGCTTAGATTGAAGGTAAAGAAGGGCAAGAGTGTTCCATTACCTACATCAAGAATAACTACCACAAAAGAAGTTGCTAAGAAGAGAAAAGTGAGGGGAACATCATAGAACAATCCTTTAATCGTAGAGCTCGAGATCACCTACATGGTCTCATTGCCCGAATGTTTTACACGGGGGGGTTATCATTCAATTTGGTAAGAAATCCATACTTTATCGAAGCTTTTAAATATGCCACAAGCAATTCGCTTGGATGTTATATCCCTCCCGGTTACAATCTTCTAAGAACAAGCCTCTTACAAAAAGATGGGACACATGTCGAGAAGTTATTAGAGCCCATAAAATTAACATGGAAAGCAAATGGTGTTTCTATTGATAGTGATGGGTGATCCGACTTACAAAGAAGACCTCTCATTAATGTGATGGCGGTGACCGAAGATGGACCGATGTTCTTGAATGCCGTCAATGCGGATGGGAGGACTAAGAATATGGATTATATAGCCGATATTCTCTTGAAAGTCATTGAAGAGGTTGGTCCTCATAATGGTGTACAAGTCATAACCGATAATGTACCGGTTTGCAAATCCGCGGGAGACATTGTACAAGGAAGACATCATCATATTTTTTGGACTCTATGTGTTGTCCACACACTCAATCTTGCCTTAAAAAATATTTGTGCGGCGAAAAATACTAAAAGAAATGAGATAGTATATTAGGAATGTAGTTGGATCACTGAAGTTAGCGATGATGTTGTTATTATAAGAAACTTCATAATGAATCATTCCATGAGATTGTCAATGGTCAATGAACATGTGAAGTTAAAAATGCTTGCTATCGCCGAAACTCGTTTTGCTTCGGTTATCATGTTGCGACGATTCAAGAAGATCAAATGTGGTCTTATGGATATGATCATTAGTGAGAGTTGGAGTCTTTATCGAGATGATAATGTTGGGAGGGTTCAATTTGTTAAGGACAAAATTTTGGATGATATTTAGTAGGATAAAATAGAATATATTATCTCTTTTACCAAGACAATCTATAACATGGTTCGATCCGCCGACACCGACAAGTCAAATCTTCACTTAGTTTATGATATGTGGGACAATCTATAACATGGTTCGATCCGCCGACACCGACAAGTCAAATCTTCACTTAGTTTATGATATGTGGGATTCTATGATTGAAAAAGTGAAGAAAGTCAAATCTTCACTTAGTTTATGATATGTGGGATTCTATGATTGAAAAAGTGAAGAATTGCATTTATAGAAAAGAATGCAAGAGAGATGATGAATATTCATCAATTTACAATGTGGTACATACTATCCTTGTTGATCGGTGGAATAAGAGCAATACACGGTATACACCATTACATTGCTTAGCTCATTCACTAAACCCAAAGTGAGTATTTTTTCCTCAAATAAACTTTTGATCTATATTGGTTAGACTTTAATAGTTGATATTATTTGTGAATGTTTTTCTATCTTGTAGATATTATAGCGTGACTTGGCTAATTGAAGCCACGAATCGAGTTGCACACTTGCACCACACATGGATCCCGAGATCTCAAATGAAAGAGCTAAATGCTTGAAGAGTTATTTTCCTAACTCCGAGGAGCGAAAAATGGTTAATGTGGAATTTGCTAAATTTTCCACCGTACAATATATATTTGCGGATCATGACTCTTTGGATGATAGGGGAAAATGGATGCAAAGTCTTGGTGGGTTGTCTATGGAACATCTACACCAAAATTGCAAGAGTTAGCATTAAAGTTGATAAGGTATCCTTGTTTCTCCTCTTGTTGTGAGAGAAATTTGAGCACTTATAAATTTATTCATTCTCTTAAGAGGAATAAAATGTCTCCACAATGAGTGGAAAATATGGTATATGTTCACACAAATTTCCATATTCTTTCAAGGAGATCCTCAGAATACTCTAAAGGGGAGACAAAGATGTGGGACATAGGATAAGATGAATTTGAATCATTCAATGATGCCGACATTTTAGAAGTTGCAAACCTTTCTCTTGACGAGCCGGAGCTTGAGGCCGTTGTATTTAATGGGTATGAAAATATTGAATGTTGATTGTCTTCTAACCGGTGCAAGGAATATAGTTTTAACTTTTGGAATATGCTAGTGAGTTGTAAGTTTTTTGGATATAGATCTAACTTTTGAAGGTATATTTGCAACTTTAAACAATATACTTATAATATTTCGAGGGATGCTTCTAATATTTTGGGGTATAGTTCTAACTTGTGAAGGTATGCTTGTAATTTTTAACTCTCGTTTTACGAGGTAGCTTGTATTTTTGTATGCTCAAGATGAAAATAATGAAAATTAGAATTTAATATTATCTTCAAATCAGTTACATAACTTACATTTGTCATTGATTATACAAGCCAAGATTACATAATAATATAACATACAAATTGAACTATTTTTCTATATGTTCTTCTTCTCTTTCTCGTCTTCTTTAACATTATTGTCTTCAATTCTCGAAGAGATCATTGCGGTCTCGACGTCTTAATTCACACCTGCAACATGCACATTCCTTTAGTTTCTTATTTATAATCTTCACTTTACATAACAAAAATATGAAAATGTAATAGGTATTTCATTCAATATTGATCTAAAGTGAATTATTTTATATATATACAGTCATGCCCTCGTACCTTACTTTTTACAAATCTGTCGTGTCCCGTACCCGTACCCGTATCTATGCAACATAGGTTACTGAATGTAGGTATCAGGGATCGTCGAAAGCATTGCAGGATACAACTAACATTTACTAAAACAACCACCACCAAGCATTTATCCTAAATATTTGGGGTCAGCTACATTCTATTACGGGTCATTTCCTCCGTTACGTTAGTCTTAATCATATCTTTCTTAATTGCTTCTAACCAAGTCATTCTAGATCGACCTCTAAATCTCTTAGCCCCATTAACTAACATTCTAGACATTCTTTGTACATGACCAAACAATCTTAATCTATTCTCTCTCATTTTATCCTCAATAGGCGCAATCTCTAATTTACTACGGATGCACTCATTTCTTATCATGTCTTTTAATGTATACCCACAAGATCATCGCAACATTCTCATTTCTGCTGCACTCATTTTTTAAACATGTTATTTTTAATTGCCCAACATTCTGACTCATAAAGCATAGTTGGTCTTATAACCGTCTTATAGAATTTTCTGTTTAGTTTCATTGGTATTCTACGATCACATAAGACTCCCGAAGCACTCCTCCATTTCAATCATCCCGATTTGATTCGATGCACAACATCATCCTCTATCTCACCATCATGTCTTATGATAGATCCTAAATAGTAAAAATAATTAGTTTTAAATATTTCTTGGTCATCAATATGTACCATAGGTTTTCTTTCTTTCCTACTTTTACTAAAATTACATTCCATATAATCATATATTCTGTTTTTGTTTTGCTATTTCTAAAACATTTAGACTTGAAAGCTTGTCTCGATCTTTCTACTTTAGAAATAATGTCTCTTCTAGTTTTATCAACTAATATAATATCGTCAGCAAATAACATACACCATGGGATTTCATCCTGAATGTGTTTAGTAAGTTGATCCATAACTAATGTAAAAAGATAATGACTTAAAGCTGACTCTTAGTGTAAACCTATGTAATAGGAAATAATTTAGTCTTTCCTTCATTAATTTTTACTCTAGTTGTTACCCTATCATACATATTTTTAATCACATCAATATATATATATTTTTTTTTAACACCCACCACATTACCTCTAGGTACTCTATCATAAGTTTTGTCTAGATCGATAAGAATCATATGTAAATCATTTCTCTTCTCTCTATATCTCTCCATCAACCGTCTCAAAATATGTATAGGTTCTATAGTTGACCTCCCAAGCATAAACCAAATTGATTTTTAAATATATATGTATATTTTCTTAGTCTTTGCTCAATTACTCTCCCCCAAAGTTTCATAGTATGACTTATGAGTTTTATACCTCGATAATTTGAATAACTCTGTTATATTCTCTTTATTTTTATATATCGGTATCAAAATACTAATCCTCCACTCATTCGGTATTCTTTTCGTCTTGATAATCTTATTAAATAGTTTAGTTAACCATCTTAAGCCTATATCTCCAAGACATTTTCAAACTTCAATAGGGATATCGTCTGGTCCTACGGCTTGTTCACTTTTTATTTTCATTAGAGCATGTTTAACCTCGCTAATCCTAATTTTACGAAATATCTATAGTTCCTATCATTCACTATATGGTTAAAATCTCTATTTTGCTCAAATGTTTGGTTATCATTAAACAAGTGATAAAAGTAACTCCTCCACCTCTCTTTTATTTTTCCGTCGGTCACTAGAACTCTTTGATCCTCACTTTTAATATACCTAATATTACCCAAATCTCTACTCTTTCTTTCTCAAATCTCAGCAAGCTCTTTTTGCTTCTTTCCTTACTAGTTTATATTTTTCTATGTTTTCCCTACTCCTACACTTTTGCCACTCTTTATATAAACTTTTCTTCTTTCTAATAACCTTTTGCGCACTCTCGTTCCACCACCAACTCTCATTACCGTCTAATCTACAATATTTGGATTCTCCTAGTATATATTTAGCCACTTTTCTAATACAAGAAGACATGTTATTTCATATAAATCAGTCTCATTATCTATGTTTTATATATCTTCTTTCATTATATTATCTTTAAAATGTATTAAATTCTCTTCTTTTAAATTCCACCATATAGTTCTTAGTCTTTTATTCACGTTAGTTTTTCTACTCCACTTTTTAATAGATATGTCTAAGACCATCAATCTATGTTGTGTACTTAAACTCTCTCCTGTTATAACTTTACAATCATTGCATATTAATCCATCCACCATTCTAGTGAGAAAAAAGTCTATTTTACTATTATTAAAATCACTTTTCAAGGTTATTAAGTGTTCATCCCTTTTTCTAAAAAGTGTATTTGCTATTATCAAATCATACGATATCGTAAACTCTAGAATTGATTTACTCATATCATTCTTATCTCCATACCCGAAGCCTCCATGTATCTTCACATATCCGTTATTATTCTTACTAACATGCCCGTTAAGATCCCTTCCTATAAGTAATTTCTCTCCAAATGAGATTCCTTGTACTAATTCATCTAATCTATTTCAAAATGCTCTTTTAATACTCTCGGGCAAACCTATTGGTGGTGTGTAAGTATTAATAATATTAATAACCTCTACACCCAAGACAACATTTATTAGTAATATTCTATCTCCAACTCTTTTTACATCTACAACACTTTCTTTTATTATATTATCTACAATAACTCTCACTCCATTCCTATTCTTCTCTTTTCCCGTGTACCAAAGTGTATACCCGGTCTTTTCAATTTCTCTAGATTTTTCACCTATCCATTTAGTTTCTTGTAAACACATTATATTTATCTTTCTTCTAATCATGACATCCACTAATTTCATTGTCTTTCCGGTAAGTGTACCTATATTCCAAGTAGCTAATCTAATTTTATTTTCTTGTAAAAGTTTCCTACCATTTTCCCTCTTTGACCGTTCTAGTCTATGCCTAATACTATTAGGTACCCTATTAGAGGATTGTAGATTCTTAGAACACCTTTGCTTACTTATCATTACACCGGGATGATATCGATGTAATGTGTCGCTTCCGGGGGACGCCCTAGCAAACCATCCTTGTTTACTTATCATTGCATCGGGGTGGGATTGATGCAACGCGTCGCGGAGGGGACACTCCAACGAGTATATAATAGGATTCATTTACATGTGGATCCGACTATGTTTTACGTTAGTTGTCGGTTACCTAACACAACCCTCCTCTTTATCCTGGCTTGGGACAGACAGTGCTGACAAACAACTGATCTTTATTGGATGTTAAATAAACAGCCTGTAGGGTTTGGTTGATTGTTGTACCTAGAGAATTGTAAACATGTTTGATTGACTATTTTTTCCACCAAACTCTAAAGTCTGAACGTATTAATATTCACTATTTTGTCCCAAACTCTAAACATATTAAGATATCACTATTTTTCTTATGGCCATACAGGTGGAGAGGGTAATTGCTGCCGGTTATCCTGATCCTCTTCATATTGAGAATGCAAAGAAAACACTCAGAGTATGATTGTTTACTCTCCAATCACAGTTTGAAAGGCCTCATTGTTCTGCAGAATGCTAAAACATATTATTTTTTCCCTCCTAGGAGCACGAGCAGTCACTTATTGATGCGATCGCGAGGCTTACTGATGCATCTGATGGTGAAAGTGGTAAATACACATTGGCCCACTCGGCCTCACTTTTCCCACTAATGTCTCTTGAACATTGGCATAGCCTTTGTCCTGTAACTTAGCATTATGTATATATCTAAGGCCATTGTTCTTTTCAATTTAATGCAACTTGCTCATGAATGTTGATGCCAACCTATGATAGATCACCCTTGGCCAATGATGCTAATTAGACAGCTGATTCAATATCATGATTTTCCAATATGAACACAGGTTATATGTCGAAATAGTGAGGTTTTATTTTGGGTCGGCTTTTCTAATCAGAAGACCTAGGAAAATAATTCAAAGGAGGAGAAATTTTGAAAATAGACCATTTCACAAAACTGATTACTATTTTTGACTTGTTACCAAAATATTTATTATTTTCGACCTAGTTTTAGCCATGTCAGCTGAAGCTAGGTTGATTTTGAATATAAGGTATAGAAACTATACAGGATTGGGAATTCCGTATACTTTAATTGTGCATTAATCTACACAGGATTCCCAATCTCGTGTAATTTAGTAGGTAATTAAGTCGACTTATATATCTAAACAAGTTTATATGAGTTAAACTATGCAGGATTGGCAATCCTTTGTAGTTTAGTTGAGCAATTAAACTCTACGGGATTGGCAATCCCTTATTTGTGAACGATTTTTTGTTAAATTGACCTAGTTTTAGCCGACGTGGCTGAAACTAGGTCAAAAATGGTTATTATTTTGGTAGTAGGTCGAAAATGGTAAGTAGTTTTATGAAATGGTTTATTTTAAAAAGTTCTCCTTCAAAGGAAAAAAAAAATCTTTTGCTGAAGTCCATTACTTTGAGAGCAACTCAGACAGTGAAGATGGTTTTGCTCGATTTCTTCAATGATTTTTATTAACCCAATGTCTTCCTTGAAGCAGAAGACAATGATGGTGCTCAGGAACATAGGCAATGGAACCCACCCAGGGTTAACTATGAAGAGCAAATGATTGCTGGTGGTTATTAGCATGAAGTTGGTTTGCTGCGAAATAACATCAAGCATCGAACCTAAGAGCTTTTGGATAAGCTAATAGTTCTTTTTAGTGTACTTTAGCTCAGATTAGCCTGTTCAGAATGTTGGAGGGTTTCTGGACCAGCACTCCAGTCCCCTTCAACATGCGCGTGTAAAAGAAAGTGAACTTGTGTAAAATTATGTTGGAGTGGCTCCCCCTCTTATGTTTCGCCTAGACGGCGGAGTTGCTATGGAGCACATCTGTGAAATTTTTGCAAGGATGCATTTTGACACAATATATGGCAAATATCGCATTTCTGTTCCTTGTAGAAATGCGACAATGTTAAGTCTGTAAAGAACCCTGTACATGGATTTTGGACTTTGTTTTTAATTGCGGAAACTACAGGGGATCTATCCACAACCAACCCTTGTTTTTTCTCTTGGAAACTGAATACATCTATCCTTGCTAAGATTGAACAAAAGTGGTGATGAGATCTACTGTTCGAGCATCATAGGCAGGACCTTCAGGGTGGCGGTAGACTGCAACTGGGATGTTAAACTTGGTGTTTTATCTGATATGGAATTTGGCTTTTATCGTAACAACCAGGGATAATATAAACATTTGGATGATCCGACTTCCTTGACCAGATGAGCAGATTTGGGTACCTTCGAGTAACGTCATCGGAGAATGAGGGCTGAGCGTTTCATGGGAAACTCACCAAGTGTTTTGAGGGGTTTTGTGCAATTTACCCTTGTATAAAGCGCACACAAGAAAGTGGTGACTTGGGAATTGGCTGAATACCAACTTTATAGTTTGTGTCCTTTTTGATAAAAAAATATAAGTTTTTCAAGATAGCATGTTATGTTAGGAGCTATATTTTTTTCAGAATATTCACATGCGACTTCTATGAGGTAAAACATGCTTCATGAAGTTAGCTGAAATAACAGAATACCATTAACAAGAGCTACTCATCAAGAGCTCGTACCAGCTGAAGTTCAACCTCTACAGGTTCTGTAATCCATCTGATGCAATACTTTTTATTTGATAATAACCCTTTGCTCACAAATTGTGTAGATTCCAAAGAGAGAACAGAGATTAACAGAATAACCAGGAACCATGAAATACGTAAATGGAGTGGCCTGGCTACTTAAATTCCGATGCATGATACAGGACTGAGCATTAAACAAGAGGACACAGCCACAATCACAATAAACTTGATATCCTGTCAAAATTCATGAATAAAGAGTTCCTGCCTTAATCTCGCAAAAGTTCCAACTCATTATCAATGGCGACAGATCTTGTGAAAATGAAAAGTTTTCATCTATAAGGAAAGCGAAGGGCTGTCAGAAGCAAGGCCCATGGTGTTCAGCCCATTGTCCACATAGACTACAGAGCCAGTTACAGCTGAAGCCAATGGTGACACCAAGAATGCTGCTGTGCTCCCAACTTCATCTGCAGATTTGAATCTCTCTCGAGATGAGAAACAAACATATTCTATGACAAACTAGAAAAAGAGAAAATTGGTCTTAAAAATCCCACCTGCTGACAGTTCTTTCTGCAATGGTGCATTAGTGTAGGAGTAATTTATCATCTTCTCGATGAATCCAATGGCTTTTGCGGCCCTACTACCTAGTGGACCTGTGAATATGGTTTTGTTGAGCAATAACTTGAAGTGATTCTAATAATGCCCATAAAGACTAGCATTCTAACAGATGGTGGTGTAAAAAATTCACCCAAGTCCTATCGCATCTTATTTTTCTAGAACTCGGTTGTCATTAGTTACCACTTGTCATGTTAAAAACTAAAAGAAATCGTGAAGTTCGGAATATCTGTACTTTTCATCATACCTGCAGAAATCGTGTTAACCCTAATTTTTCCTTTCCTCCCAGCTTCAAAAGCTAGCACCTGATAATCAGAGAATATAAACAAATGAGGTTTGTATTAGAAAAACTGAAGCAATGGAAAGAAAGTAACTGAGGGAGATAATTACTCTGGTGTCACTCTCCAGGGCCGCTTTTGCTGAGCTCATGCCTCCACCATAACTATACATAGTAGTTTAGTATGTTAAAAGAATTGATGAATACATCATTGTCTAAACTAGGTTTCAATTGTAAGGGCTGGTGGAGTACCGTACCCAGGAATGGTTCTTTCAGAAGCAATATATGTCAAAGAGATGGATGCACCTCCTGCATTGTATAAGATTGTAAAATATCCCTCTTGTTAGAAAAAGTCCCTTGAAGTGTCCACTAACTGGTTTGACTGTATGATCAACTATGACAACGAACAATGAACTGTAAATTGCATGAAAATATTTGGATATCACATGTGCTGAATTTCATAACCTAAACTGGACCTATATTGTAGCCATGTGGAAGATGATCATCCAATAAACACACAGTATCATTTGGACCTATTTCATCAAAAACATGTATTATGAGATAGAGATACTACATTATTTATTCCCAGTAGCAGATCCTGGTAGCTGTTTACGCAATTACTTTTATACATTGCAGCTATGTCACATTTAAACTGATTCCCATTAATGACGTGTACATCTTTCGTGTAATAACATTTTCTTATTTCTCTCATTTACTATATATGAATGCTTCTTAGTTCCAAAGAACATACTATCATTCCGATGGAAAGAACAAAGCTACAACAGGGAAAAGCAGATTCGATGACTTATTGACAATAAATGTGATCATAACCATTTCACAGAAATAAGTACCTGGATTCATGATAGGAAGAAAGTGCTGCAGAAGGGACACAAAAGAGTAACTTGAAGCAGATATTGAAGCAAGATATCCCTTTCTTGATGTTTCCAGGAGAGGTTTTGTAACCTACTTGATGGGAAATCTATTAGTAGAATTTATAAATAAGAAAAAAAAGAGACAGGTGGAAAAAAAAAAAGACGAAAGAAGTTGTACCTCTGGTCCATTGGCAAGGGAATGCACGAGAATATCAATGGTTCCAAAATCATTCTTGACAGATTCAGCTACTTCCTATTGCCGAATTTTACAGAAAACATTAAACAGAAAGTTTAAAATGCGATGATTATGAAATATGAAAACATTGTCCACTAGATAAAGTGATGAGCAGAGATATTTCAAGGATAATTATGCTTTTCTGAGGAAAGTATAATTCATGGAAAGATGTTCCAAGGATACAAATAATCTACCTTCACAGTCCAGTTAGAGGCACCTGCATATCTTTTATTTGTTTTCACCTGTACAAAGCACATATCTTATTAGCAAGTGAACTTTTCCAAGTAACCACACAGAATAGACGCCAGAACATAAAACAGGAAAAAACATCTCACATCTTCAGGAACATCCTCTGGAGTATCATACACTGCATCTAAAGGGTACACTTTGGTGATTTCCATAAGAGAACCATCTGGTAAACTGTCACATTCAAAATATAGTTATTAACTATCTAACAGTTCAAATTCAATATCTAAAATATGAGCATGCCATTTAATGGAGGATTGATCTATGCCATAAAGTAGAAGATAGGTATGTGTAATAAATACAATAGGTCTAAGATAAGAATACACACAGGCGTGACTCATCAAATTTCCCACGTCTTAAGCTAGTCTCAAAAATGTTCAGTGCCTGCCGAAAGAAAGAAATTCATGATTAGAAATCAAATATAAATAGATATTTGTGCATCTATCCTGACAAACTATGCAGGAGTGAGGTCACATACAGGCACCCATGTACCAACAAGAATCTCAGCACCTGCAGCAGCAAGAGCTTTAGCAATTGCCCACCCATAGCCATTGTCGTCAGCTACTCCAGCAATGAATGCCCTTTTACCTGAGAAAGGAAAGCGTAAGGAAGTATAAGTTGCGTCAGAAAATAGCTGACGGGTCTATAATGCAAAACACTATGTATGTATAAAGATTAGGGATTTGCTTGTGTATATGCATGTGCACAGCTGCATGACCTCTTCCTTTCTTTTTTTCCCTTTATTTTTCTTTTTTAATGAATTTGTTACATGTTTGCATTATAACTTGGTTTGTTCAGATAAAATCTTCAAAGAGGTGGTCCAAGGCAGACTAAAAAGGAAAATAAACATAATATATTGTCCATCAGGAGGCCAAATGGCCCAGGTCTAAAAATGCATAGAAATTATATTTATATTGCAACAAAATCGCCTGGTCAAGCTGACAAAGAAGATTATTGCAAGAATCTGACTAATAGAAAACGATTAACTCAGAAACAAGGCGATGGAATACAACATAAGATCAACTACTGACTTCACAAACATTAAGAACTTGCTATTAAATAACAATGCTACCAAACAATGTAGTTTTAGAGAAGCACGAAAGTATATATAATAGCAATAATATATTTTATTTAGGAGGCATAGTCTGTTAGGCAGTTCACCATATAAAACTGCTACAAAATGCGATTTTTGCTCTGTTATGTAGGGTGCTTCCCTGAACGCAGAATCAACACGCTGCCATGATTATAAAATCAACATGCTGCCATGATTATAAAGTTGTGCACCCTCTTTCACCTAAACTTTAGTAGAAAATGAAGTATATGCTGCCTACTTTTTTACTAAAGGCCAACTGTCCTATAGACAACTTTTTATGTTCTTAGCTCTTACATACATGAATAAAAACCCATAACATATCATTTATGTGATTTAAATACACATATTTTCAGAAGTAAAAAACATTTACAATCATATCTTCATTTCTGGATTTTGAAGAGTTACCATGCCGGCCCACGTTGTCCCTGCTTACAAATTAGTTTGATACGTAATAGAAATCAACAAAAAGCTGCAAAGCTATCGACTGACTAGCTTCCTGATTCTATGTCAAAGTTACAATTGTAGACGGATTTTCATTCGAGATTTACTGTTATCATAGAGATCTGTGTTCATCCTTAAACCGTGCACCAAAAATTCAAGCAATTGTGTAGAAGTGCACTTTTGCAAGGTAGTAATTGGGGAGTGAGTCCGACGAGATTAGAGACAAAAACGAAAGAAGCTTATTACCTCTCAAATCAATGGGCAATCCCGGAGGACCATTTCTTTGGCTCTCACTAGCCATAGCCCTCGTAACAACATGGCTCAGCCTCAAAGCAGCAGGCGCAAAGCTCAGCTGAAGAGGTTGAGCAGAAGAAACACAGGATGAGCATCCAAGTTTAGTTTGGGCTAATCCTCTTGTCTCCAATCTCGACATTCTCTGAGGATAACCGACGCACTGCCTGGTAGCTGCCATTTGCAGACTAGCACCGGCCATTGCTGCCATATTCTCGCGATTAAAATTTAGATAACTAAATCAAGAACCTGAGAAAAAAAACACTGCAGAATGAGGATGAATGGATGCAGAAACCCACGACTAGCATTGTGAATTTCAACTAATTAACTAAAATTTGACACTTTTCATTCAAAGGTCGCCTACTATACACAACAATTTTCATTCAGCAACTAATGTTTCAAGCCCAAAAAATAATAATCCCTCAAAACTTCAACTAATCCTCTAAAATTCTTCATGTTTTTTTTTTTTGGATATATTAATAGCCAACGCGTACAAGAACCAGAATTTAACAAAAATGAGCGCGGATTCAATTAAAAAAGAAAACTTTTCTCAAGGAAAGGAAAGAAGAGATTCGACATTTCTCACGGGACTGACCTCTAAAAGATTGAAGATTTAGATCCCGTTGCGATGGCGAGTTCCTTTGGAGCGCTCAGATCTAGGTGAAGGATTTTAAGAGAAGGGAATCGATGAGATCGAGGTGGCCGAATTCGAAGTGGAGCCTCGGAGAAATCGTCCGAATTATGTTTTCTTCGCTGTTCGGTAGGGCTTTAGTTTTTGCGCGGAGGTACTAATTTATTTTCAAATGGCACGCGGAAAGAAAATTTTCTTAAATTTGTAACACTTTGACGAATTTATTTTGGTGCAAAATTTAAATTGATGACTAATACGTAAAACTCCACAGTTTCGACAAATCGCTATTGTTTTAGTAGAGCAAAATTATCATATTGGTGTTTAAAACAGACTGTAATTATTATTTTTGTATGTAAAGTAACTCAAATATCTTTTTTAGTATTTAAAGTTTGGCAAATGGGCAATTTGGTACAAAGCTGGTCGATAGTGAATTTTTTTGGAAGAGAACTGTATTTATTTTTGTTGGAAAAAGTTATTGCACTCTAACTTTTTAAAAGTAGGGGAAATTGCTTCTAGCCCCAATATCCTTACAAGTATCCCCAAAGACTTTTTCAACACTCCCAAAACCCTGAAAAGCAAAGTCATAATTCTCCGAACCCCTAAAACACAAATCTAAGAGTTTAAAATATATGAAGACAATAATACACACACTCTCTCTCTCTCTCATGATGTTACTGTGATGATTTGAAATGAGTTTTGGGGAGGAAAATTTTAGTTCCCTCCAAAATTTTTCAACGGCGTCAACATCAGCGATGAAACTTTCCCAGCGTTCATTCATGAGGCAAAAAAACTGCGATCTTGAAGACGGTGATAACGAGTTGCGATGGATTTAGCATCGTCATTCCGAAGAAGACAGGCACTCCGACGACTCCCGGTGTAATTTTTTTCCCCTTTTTTAACTTTGTGCTTGAATCCGAGTGCTAAATTTTTTGTTATTTTACATATTGTTATAAATTCTTTTAAAATTAATGACTCGAGATTAAAGTAGAGTATGTGAATTTATCTATTGTTGTTATTTCACTGTAATAAGTTTGTTGTTAAGTTTATGGGTTGGTTGTGAATGAAGTTTACGTGTTGGTTTTAAAGGTTACGAATTGGTTGTGAAGTTTACGAGTTGATTGTCAATATTACGAGTTGGTTGTGAATGTTACGAGTTGGTTGTCAAGGTTACGAGTTGATTGTCAATGTTACATGTTGGTTGTGAATGTTACATGTTGTTTGTGAAGGTTACGAGTTAGTTGTGAACATTGGTAAGGAGTTGATTGTGAAAGTTACGAGTTGGTTGTGAATGTTAGTTAACAACAATCATAATCAACTCATTACCGAGGTTCACAACCAACTACTAACATTCACAAACAACTCGTAACCTTCACAACAAACTCATAACGTCCACAACTAACTCGTAATCTTCACAACCAACTCCTAATCTTCACAACCAACTCGTAAACTAACATTGACAACCAACTCATAATCTTCCTTCACAACCAATTCATAACATTAACAACAAACTCATTACAGTGAAATAACGATAATATATAAATTTACAGACTCTACTTTAATTTCAAGTCATCGATTTTAAAAAAATTTATAACAATATGGAGGGAACTAGAATTTCCCCCAAAAAACCGTTCTAAATCATCGCAGTGACATCATGAGAGAGAGAGAGAGAGAAATATAATATTATGGTTTTCACATATTTTAAACTCTTGGGTTTTATGTTTTGGTTGCTTAGAGAATTGTGACTTTGCTTTTGGGGGTTTTGGGAGTGCTGAAAAAGTCTTTGGGGGGGGGGGTTACTTGTAAGGAAATTAGGGGCTAGAAGAAATTTTCCCTTATAAAAAGTCTTTGGGGGGGGGGGTTACTTGTAAGGAAATTAGGGGCTAGAAGAAATTTTCCCTTATAATTGTTATATTACGGCGAGAGAGCTTGTGTAAAAATTTTAAAAAAGAGTAAGAAGATTTTATGATACACGGTAAAGTTTTGAGTGTTTTAATGTGGGAAATTTCAAGATGGTTTTGCCGAAAATCCCTCAACATTCAAAGGGGGGGTTGTGATATGTACCCACTGTTAAAGTAAGAGAGAGAGAGAGAATCTTGGGTAAATTTCCCTTGAATTGAATATTGAGTGTGCACATATATTTATACAAGTAGAGGAGTGTGAGGTTTGTTCTCCCAAGCAATGTGGGACTAAAACCCACTACAATACACTATTATCAACAGCCCCCTTCAAACTCATGTTGGATCAAACAAAGTGAGTTTGCGTACAAGAAACTGGAACCGATGAACAGGTAATGCCTTTGTGAAGAAATCTGCAAGCTCGTCAGCGGATGAAACATGAGGAAGTAGAATTGTCTTGTCCTTGATAACTTGGTGACGGACAAAATGAGCGTCGATCTCAATATGTTTGGTCCTTTCATGAAATACTGGATTATTAGCAATCTGGATGGCACTCTTATTATCACAGTAGAGAGGAGTAGGAGTCGTAACAGAAATACCGAAATCACTGAGAAGGCGACGAAGATGAATAATCTCTTTAGCTGTTGTGGACATTGCACGATACTCTGCCTCAGTACTGGAAAGAGCAATAACATCTTGTTTCTTACTTCGCCAGGAAATAAGGGAATCACCAAGAAATATACAATAACCTGTGGTAGACTTTCTGGTAGTTGGATCACCAGCCCAATCAGCATCAGAATATGCACAAAGCTCTAACTTAGATGTAGCAGGAAACAAAAGTGAGCGAGTGCTAGTACCCCGGAGGTACCGAAGAATCCGTAATAAGACAGCATAGTGTACAGAACGTGGGGCACTAACAAATTGACTGACAATACCAACAGCATGAGAGATATCTGGTCGAGAGATGCACAAATAGACCAACTGACCAACAAGATGTCGATATCGGGTAGGATCAGATAGAGGCTCACCGTCAGTAGAGCAAAGTTTGACATTCTGCTGGAGTGGAGTATCGACAGTTGTATTATCAGTTAACTCAGCTTGATTTAGAATATCTGAGAGATACTTCTGTTGAGACAGTAATACACCCCGCGGGCCTTGAGAAATTTCTAGACCAAGGAAATACCGAAGAGATCCAAGATCCTTCATGTGGAACTGTTGTTGCAACTGAGATTTTGCGTATTGTATACCTGTCATATCATCACCTGTAATGATCATATCATCTACATAGATGAGTAATAAAACCCTGCCACGCGATGTAGTGCGAACAAACAGAGAAGCATCTTGATGACTTTCTATAAAGCCCGCTTTGAGCACAACATCGCGAAAACACTCAAACCAAGCGCGGGGTGCCTGTTTGAGACCATAAACAGCACGACGAAGGAGACATACATGTCCCGGAGGAATATTTGACCCTGGAGGCGGTTGCATATATACGGTCTCTGATAAAGAGCCATGAAGAAAAGCATTTTTGACATCCATCTGGTATAAGGGCCAACGATGAGCAGCAGCGACCGCAAGGAGAGTACGCACAGTGGGCATCTGAGCAACAGGAGCAAAGGTCTCCTCATAATCAATACCTTGTTGCTGAGTAAAACCTCTAGCCACTAAACGAGCTTTTCGACGTTCAATGGTGCCATCAGGACGAAACTTGACCTTATAAACCCATTTACTGCCAACAAGAGAGATCCCAGGAGGACAGGGAACAATATCCCAGGTATGAGTTTGCTGAAATGCTTGAAATTCCTCAGCCATAGCTTGTCGCCACTCTGGAATTTGAACTGCCTCTTGGAAGGACTTTGGCTCAACAATAGTATGAATGGCAGCAAGAAAGTTATGAAAGATAGGTGAATAAGAAGTAACAGAAGCATACCGGGCAGGCATGACATGTGGGCGTTTGCCTCGACGAAGAGCAAGAGGAACCTCAGGCGGGGGAGATGCTGGCGCAGGTGCATGAAGATCAACAGTATTTTCTGGAGTGAGAGTTGTGTCCACAGGATATGGATTAGATGGTGTAAGAGAAGACTCAGGTGAGGAAGAGTCAACAGAAGGAGAGGGAGAGATGTCAGGGAGATCTCGAAAGGAAAATTGAGGTGAAGAAGTGGGTGATGCAGTGGACGGGGAAGCATGATCGGTAGAGTGGAGGAAATTAAAGTCATCAGAAGTAGAATAATATGGAGAATCCTCTTCGAACTGAACATGACGAGATATATGAACTCGACGAGTTGCGGGATCATAACAACGATAACCTCGATGTTCTGAACTAATTCCTAAATAAACACAAGAAACTGCTCTGGGAGACAATTTATCACGTTCGTGAGATGGCAGAAAAACAAAACATCGACAACCAAAAACGCGAACTAGATCATAACGGGGAGGATGAGTATAAACACGACTATAAGGAGTAGCACCGGAAAGAGAGCTAGATGGAGTGATATTAATGGCATGAGTCGCGGTGAGAATAGCCTCAGCCCAGAAACGACGAGGAACAGAGTAAGAAATGAGCATTGATCGGGCAGTATCGAGGATATGACGATGTTTGCGTTCAGCAACACCATTTTGCTCATGAGTGTAGGGACATGACTGTTGAAAGATAGTCCCATGAGAGGACATGATAGAGCGCATGGCAGAGGATAGGTACTCTTTGGCACAATCAGAACGAAAAACTTTAATACGAGATTGCCATTGAGTGAAAATCATAGCAGTGAAGGCTTGATAAGCAGTAAGTACGTCAGAGCGATTCTTAAGTAGGTAAACCCATGTAAAACGAGAGAAATCGTCGATAAAACTAACATAATATAAGTAGCCAGATGAAGAAGGCAAAGGAGCTGGCCCCCAAATATCAGAATGTACTAAATCAAATAAGGAAGTGGATACAGATGTACTCATTTTAAATGGTAAAGCAGTGAATTTAGCCAATTTGCAACCAGCACATGACTCAATACTAGAACTAGATGATACAGGACCAAGTACTCCAGACTGAATAAGACTCTCCAGCCTTTTATTACACACATGACCAAGTCGTCTATGCCATAAATTGGCAGGAAGCGAGGTAGAGGGTTTTGACGAACAAAGAGAAGCAACAAGAGAACGTGGACGTATGGACTCTGGAAGGTGAAGATATTCCAGAAAATACAGTTTGTGCCTCCTACGACCCGCCCCAACCGTCTTGCCCGTCTGTGGATCCTGCACAATACAA